GGGGGGGGGGGGGGGGGGGGGGTTGCAGGTGTTCGAGCTCTGAAAACTCCTGGATTGAGGAATCACAGGTAATGATGGAATATTGAAGAGATGCTGAGACTAGGATCCTGAGCTGTGGTAATTTGTCTATTATTTGGGAGTTTCTTTTCCTTCAGTGTCTCTTCTTTTTAGATAGATGTGGACAGCATTCTGGCCAGCAATATGTTAATAAGACACTCAATCAATCAATGAAGTTTCCCCATATTTATACATGGTGCTGGGGTCAGAAGAGCTGCACGGAGGTGAGGGAGCTCACCACACCCTGCACTGTCCTTTGGGGCACCTCTACGCACAGGAAGACATTGTAGGCTAGTGGGAAGAGTGCAGGCCTATACTGGATCTCTCTCTTCCTCCCCATTTTCTTCTCTGCTTTTCTCTCTTCTCCTTCCCTACACGCATCCGTAAATTATTTCTTTCAACTAGGTCAGCAAAATGTCTTTTTTTCCTCCAGAAGATACTTCTATACAAAACCCGATCAGCACCCTCCCCCTCCACTGCCATAATGTCTGCATTTTGCCTCTTGGGTGATCACGTGATGCCTGTCAATGGGGTTTGAGGGACAGTTTTGATAGACTCAAGGCATGATGAAGATACTCAGAACAGGTTAAAACTACACAAAGGATTTACTTTATACTCGCTCCCACCCTGGAAACAGAAAGCCCTGTTTTCCCTTCCCAAAAGTCACACATTTCAGAAATAGCTGTTGAGAAGGAAGTGAAATTTCTTCACAAGCTCACAGACGATGGTGACGTGGGTTAAGCCAGGCTTTAGAAAGAGCAAAATTGGAAGAGCATATCTGATTTACAAATCAGTGGCAAAGAATAGGAAAACTTCAGGTTTATCAAAGAGGTATTCAATGCTATAAAATGAGTTACTTTTTCCAGGTAGACAATCCTCATGTCTGCCTCGAATGCATCTGTGACTCTGAGAAACATGTCAATGATCTTATATGTGCAATGTTGCTAACTGCTCCCAGAGAAATCACAACTCATGTTCTACCTCATATAACAACAGCTGACTAGTCACTGAGACATACAATATAGCCACATTTCATCCGTGATTGATGATATGACAATGCACTGTTGTCCTTAACCTTTTGAGGGCTCTTTACCCCCAATATTAACCTAGTACCTTCTCTTTCCCCTAGTCTCAGTGGCTAGATGAGCACCTTAACTCTTAAGCCATTCTGCTGGGAGCTTGAGTAAGGAGGTGATCCTATTAGAAAAAAGATGTCAAGGGCCGGCCCGGTGGCGCACTGGATGGTGCGCCGCTTGGGAAGCGCGGCGGCGCTCCCGCCCGAGGGTTCGGATCCCACATACGGACCGGTTCCCACTCACTGGCTGAGCGAGGCGCGGGAGCGACACCGAGGGTTGCGATCCCGTTGCCGGTCCCCGGTCCGGTACGGGGGCGACACTGAGGGTTGCGATCCGTTGCCGGACACGGAAAAAGACAAAAGACAAAAAAAAATAAAAATAAAAAAAAAAAGAAAAAAGATGTCAAGAAAGCACAGGGTCCTAACAGTAAGATTTCCTGGCCAGAGGGAGGACTGGCTGATTCAAAACAGAATCATGAGAGAGAGACATGGGGACATTCTGGTGCCTACATGGTCAAGATAAGGGGCCACCTGCATGTGTGGTGGGAACCCCAGTATTTCTGGGTCAGATGGCTGGAATGGGGACATTGCTTTTCTTTTTTTAAAAATTTTCTGCATTTCTATTCATGTGGCTTCTAAGGTAGAAGCTGGAATTAGTCTTTGGGACATTTTGGGGCATTCTGTTCCTTTGTCTTAGTGGGGGACAAGTTTCACAAGCATTTTTTTATCCTATGGATGGAAGCAAGCCCCTGGCACTTGTTATTGGGGTTGCCCTGAGCTCTGTGTGTAACCAAACCCAGAGCTTCAGGCTGAGGTGTTAGTTTGGTTAATAATGCAGAGGGCTCTTTCCACTGGGGGCAGGGCACGCTGCAGTGCATATTATTATAATGTAGATAAATACATCATTTGCTCTGGCAGACTGGGGAGTGGGAAAGTGGAGAGCAAATATGGAGCCCTGATAATGAAAGTGAGAAGACATGGAATGGGAAGCGGTGTGGTCATGTGATCCACGCAGGGGCTAAGGAGAGTGGTCAGTGGGACTCCGTTTAGAGAAATAACCAATATACCCAGCGGACATTGAAAGCTGATAGTCATCCCTTGTATTTCCTTTTCCTCTCTTTAATTCCCTTGTGTTATCCTCAAGCCTTAGGCACACTTCTTAAACAGTAGTGAATCTTGGGGATAAGGGAGGAATCTGCACCTTTCTTTCATGAGCAGTGTAATTCGGAGAAAACACATACAATATGAGAAAACTGTTTTAGTTGGCCAGTGGTGCTCAGGGAACATCTTGTTGAGAGGTGACAAGTAGCAACAACAGTTGGGAAGATTTTGTGGGACATGGAGTAGAAAGGAGCCTGGAGTAGGAGGGTCCCTGGGTCTCTAACATCATTGGAGGCTTTGTCTCTGTGCAGAAGGCAGCTTGGGGTGCTGCTACTTGACCAGTGGGAGTCAGGGGTGAATGGAGGAGAGAAGGGTGAAGTATTACTTTCCTGCAAGTGTGCTTCCAGGCACATCTATGTTCCTGGGGCTTCCCAGCTGACTGGATGACATGGCTGATCACAGAGAGCAGTTCACACTAAGGAGACTGACTTCATAATATACATCACAGCACATCAAGGTGGCCCAGCTGTAGGGATCATTGGCCCTATAAGAATGGGCCATCTCAGTGCCACTCACCATGCAGGCAGCACGTACCCTTCAGACACCAACACGAGGAGCCACAGTTGGCCCCAGTATTTCAGGACCTCAACAATCACTGCTGGACAGTGAGCAACACAGCAATGACCTGGCCACTCGGCAGTGCTGGGGTCACTTGGGGTCAACAGAGTCTTCAGGGCAGTGGTAGAGACTCACCTCCTTTTGATGGTGAGCATCACGCCCAGGAGGATGATGATGAACATGAGGAGGCCCGCGATCACGCCGGCCATCTTCACGGTGTTGTCCACCTGCTTCTCTGGCTCCACGGTGTTCGAATTCTGGGTGGAGGCACCTTGGAGGGGAAAAAGGAAGGAGAAAGATGTTGAAAAGGCTCACACATGTGACTAGATAATAATCATAATGGCAACAGCTTCCATTTATTGGCAACTAACTTTGTGCCAGGCACTGTGCTAAGAGCACTGTATACATTGTCCAATTTAATCCATTTTGAGGATTAATTCCTTGTGAGGTTGGGATTATTATTAGATCTTTTTGTAGCTGAGGAAACTGACAGGCTGAGAAATTAAGTGAGCTGCCCAAGGTTACATAATTGCTGTGTTGGGGCATCTTTTCCTCTAGTGAGATCTAGTGGAGTATTTTATTCCCCGTATTCTAGGATCAAACTATGGAACTATGGTTCCGTTCATGGGTTCATAGAATTATTCTTAACCCTACTGTATTCTTCCAGGCAAATGGTGAAAATAACAGCTTTATGTAAAAGCAACACAATTGAAATAACTGGATTTTTAAAGATAAAAAGATTAAAATTTTTATTTTGTTCTTTACATAAAACAAATGGTAGTGTAAAAATTTAGTGTATTAAAGGGAGTTGCCTAGGGTTCAGTAAACACCTATATCTGGTTAACTCAATTTTTGGCATTTAATACTAATGCTATGTGTTCTACCAGGTCCTAATGTGCTGACTCTACCCCTAGTAGAGGAAGGCAGGGAACTGGTCACTTGCTGGTCCTCAACCCTGTGCTGGGTAATTTCACGGATCTAGCTTGGTCAGTTCTCACAAATATTCCCAAAGGTAGATATTGATCTTCCCATTTTATAGATGAGAAAACCAAGAGAGCTTGCTAAAAGTTACACGGCTGATGGAGGTCAAGCCTGAGATTCCATAGGTTTTCTGACTCTGAGTTTAGGCCTCAATGGTCAGGAAACCCTGAATTCAACTTTCAAGCCCCCTACTTCCTTAGTCCCCCCCTCCCTAAAACAAACTTTGCTTGTGCCATAACAGAATTAAGTAGCCACAGAACGTCAAAGCCCAGTCTCTTCACGCTATGCACTAAGGATCAGCAGCAACTTCTTATTCCAGACATTCCAGAGAGGGGTCCAGGGCTTACCAACACTCTGAGTGACTTTCGTTTTGCTGTCCTCACGTTCCCAATGGTGCCACATTTCTGTGAGACAGCTCGAATTTCAAAGTAATTTTTTCCTAACCCTTCTTTACTTTTCTGTCACATCAGAACCAGCCCATCCTCCATCAGCCAATACTCCTTCTCTGGTCACCTGTGCCCCTGGGAAAGTTTCTTTCTTTTCTCTAAATTCTCATAGCACTTTATAACTTTATAACACACCTCACTATATCTCTTGCCACAATGTACCGATATTATTAGTTATTTGTTTCCACATCTGTCTCCTCCAGTGGTCTACAATCTCCTTAGAGGGAAGATTATGCCTCATTTATCTTTGTTTTTCCATGTTAGCACAGGGCCTGACTGGTAATAGGGGCTCCCTAAATGTTTGTGGTCGCTCAGTGATTAGCTAAAGAGATGACAACTCTGCCCACACACGTTTGTTCGCATGGAACCATACTGTTTTCTCGTTTTTTTTTTAGTCATGTGTTCACAGAACTCAGCTGAGTTTAAGGGATGCTAATACCCGTAAGCTATGGTTCCAATTCCCTAAGTCACTGGCATTGAAGAACAGCTCTCCAGCACATTCACACATCCCTATCTTTTTTCTTAAGAGCATTGAGTGTTTCCTCTCTCACAGCACTGTCCCCAAACTGTTTTAACTTAGACAAGTTGGGCTCACTTAGCCAAGTCTCCCTACTGAGAGTGGTAGGTCTTAAAGAACAGGGAGTGCGTCCTGCTTTTCTCTGTAACATCAGTGTGGAGCACAGGCCCCCCTCCTCTCAACTGCTGCTTAACAGGTGATTATGGAATCGTGTAAAGGTGAGTGCACTACAATTGTCTGCATCATTTATTCAATCAATCATTCATAATTTTGCTACTGAGCAACCATGTGCTGTGTACCTAACTATGCTGTCTGTAGGGTCAGAGATGCTTCTCCTGGGAGGACTTATGGATAAGGGATCTTATTCATACCCTTCACCAGCTAAAGATGAGACCAGCTCTTCAAATCCCAGTGCTGCCTGAGCAGGCTCTGCCAATCCACAGCCTAGAGAATTCCTGGGGCAGTTAGCCAACCACCTGTTCAGCAGGGCTAGTCTGACATTCCAGAGTGGGGGCTGGTTCCAGAAAGCTCCTAGGTAGCTCCTACTTCCCAGTTTGGAGACATGATTTCTGAGATACGGCTAGTTCCCATGTACCAAGCATAAAGGAAGCAAAGCACCTCAGACCACAATTTCCCCAATACTGACAGTCTTTTTTTTTGGAATTGGAGGAAGGGTTGGCTCTGGAGCATTCACTCATTGGCACGGCTAAACTTTGCTTAGTGCCAACTCCAAGGTCCTGCTCTAGAGACTGGGAGCACAAGGCAAAGAGCTCCTGGAGAGGACCTTATTCCTCCAGGAGCACTGTTGTTAGCTGGGTGTGATGGGACTCATACTTCAGTCCTTCAGTAAATAATCACAAGCACCCACTATATGCCAGGCATTTGGAGACATGGTGGTGAGTGAAACAGGCACTGTTCCTTCCCTAAAGAGTCTTCAGTTAGTGAGGGTTGGGGTGAAAGGGGTACAATTAATAATCCCAGAATCAGTAACAACACACTTTTAATTTTGATTTGGGTTTGAGCAGAAAGGCACATGACACATGTAGAGTGCATAATAGGGAAATTAATCACTTTTTGGAGAAAGTGGTCAGTAGGGTGAGCTCCAAGGGAAGACAGGGTACAACCAGGAAAAGGGAGCAGGAGAGGAGCCCACAGCAGCGGATGAGAAAATAGCCCTGGCGAAGGCCATGCAGTAGGTCAAAGGGCCCGGTGCAGTCAAGGAGCTTACAGAATGTAGTAAGACAAGGAGAACAGGGTGCGAGGGAAGCTGGAGAAGGCAGCAGGGACCAGTCCATGCAGGACATTGCAGGCCACAATGAGGGTTTTTGTCCTTTAGCCCAGGAAACACAGGGAACCATTTAAGTGCTGTTCATGGAGCAAGGATATGGTCAGATATGTATTTCTAACAGACCATTCCAGCTTCAGTGTGGAACCAAACTGGATTAAGGAGATGAGTTTTGAAACCAATGCAGGCATCCAGGAGGGAGATGATGGTTGGTTAGACTCAGCTGATGGTGGTAGAGATAGAGAGATGTGATAAAAGAGATAATTAAATAGATACAGATAAAACCTGTCGGTGGACTGGAACTAGGGAACAAAGGAGAAAGAACTGCTAACGGTGACCACAAGTCTTTGGTTTGCATGACAGGGTGAATGACAGAACTGTTAATGGGTCCCAGAAATAATGGGAAAAGCATAGTTTTAGAGGGAAATCATGTATGTGTTTGGGGCAATTTGATCTTGAGAGAAACTTCAGAAAAGTAGGTAGTTAAAAATGCAAGCCTGGGGCCAGCCCGTGACTCACTCGGTAGAGTGTGGTGCTGATAACACCAAGGCCCCGGGTTCGGATCCCATATAAGGATGGCCGGTTAGCTCACTGGCTGAGCGTGGTGCTGACAACACCAAGGCCACAGGTTCGGATCCCATATAGGGATGGCCGGTTCGCTCACTGGGTGAGCGTGGTGCTGACAACACCAAGGCCACAGGTTCGGATCCCCTTATCGGTCATCTTTAAAAAAAAAAAAATAAATAAATAAATAAAAATGCAAGCCTGAAGCTCTGAAAATAAGTCTGAGCTGGAGGTAAAAGTGTGTGAGTCACATGCACATAGATGGTACTTAAAGCATGCGGCCCAATGAAGTTGCCCAGGGAGAGAATAAAGAGCGAAAGAGAAGCAGGCCTAGAATGAGAACTGAACGTCTGCAGTATTGTGAGTGGGTAGAGGAAGATGAACCTGCACAGAAAACAGAAGGAGCAGCCAGACTTTTTGGAGGAAAACCTGGAAGAGTGTAGCATCGAGATCCAAGAGAAGAGAGTGTTTGAAGGAGGGAGTGATCAACTGTGTTAAATACTATTTCTAGAGTAGAATCGAGCTTCATACACAAAGGATAATGAAGATCTCAGAAGAGTATTAGAAAGCCTTTTAGAAAAGAATTCCAAGATGTTCATACTCATCCAACAATGGATCCAACACTAGAATATACTTCAAGGCCACAGAGAAACATCCAGGGGATTCAGGGGTGGGGGTGGGGGGGTCTGAAAGGCTAGAGACCAGTGCTTTAGACAAATTGAGTGAGTTCAGCCAACAGGCGTCGGAGCTGAAACCACAGACTCCACACAGTGAGGTTACTGGGAGGAGCCACGCTTGGCCGGTCCAGCCAGACTTCAGATACAGGAAAGAACATGCCCCGGGACATGGCAAGTCCAACTTTCACTTCAGAACTCTATAAGGGACTTCACTCTAGTCCCTGGGGATTTGTGCCTCCATTCATAACGGAAGTGTGCTGACAGTGTTCAAAGGTGATGCAGGTATAGGGGAAATGGCTCTGGGACTAAAGGCCACACAAGACCTTTGTGTGGCTCCTATGTCTGGCAGGGAGAAAGGAGGGATGGAGACAAAGGGTGGGCCAGTCCTGCTCCTATTGTAGAGTCAGCAGTGTGTCCACAGGGCTCACATGGGAAGTGCGCAGTGGAACAGAGTGAGAGCCTGTGGTGGGAGCTACAAGGCAGTGTGTCAGGGCTGGTTACTGATGGGGCCTCCTAGCAACACGATGGGCTCTCCACACATGGTGTCACAGGGTCAACACAGAAGACTATCTGTCTGACTCAGTGGTTCAGAGATCCAAGGGGACTTTTTTGAGAGGTAGAAGTGGAGGCCTTCAGTGAAATGGCAGCTGGATTACTATTACCCTAAGCCTACTCTTCTCATGAGAGTCAGGCTTAGCATCAGTCCCAGTTCCTAAAAGCCTCTTTCTCAGACTCTGAGTGACTTCTGTTTATTAAGCATGGACTTGGAGAAAGGGGAGGGATTTGGATGCACATTCTTCA